TGCTTGAGTTTGATCTTGAGGGCCGTCCGATCCAATTCGACACTTGGCTCGACAACTTGCAGCTTTACTTGCTGAGCGACTCTAGAGATAGTGTTTCGCTGTTTCACCACACGTCTGGCGCCGCTCCTGCCCCTCCCGCCACAGCTGACAGTGCGACTCGCTCACAGTGGCTTACTCGTGACGCTGCTGCTCGCTTAGCCATTCGCAACCACTTACCGTTGGCCGAATGCGCTCACTTCGGACTGCACAGGCTCTGTACGACGCTGTACTCGCCCGTTACTCCTCGCCTGCCACTGCTGCTCTATGCCGTTTTCTCCTACCATACCTGTTTCCTGAGCAGTCTGCCTTTGCCACAGTAGAGGACCTGGTTACCCACTTTCGCACTAGCGACGCTCGCTACCGCGCTGCCCTCCCAGCAGAGTTCCTTGACAGGAACCCGCCTCCGATGTACATCACTCTCTACTTTATAATCACCCGCCTCCCTGACTCTCTTCGCTCTGTCAGGGACCATTTTCTCTCTCTCGACCCCACAGTGCTCACTATTGACCTCCTCGAGCAGCAACTCCTTGCAGCTGAGACTAGTGCAGTCGCTGTAGGTGCCGCTCCTGGCACTCCGCGCACACCCTTCTTTGAGGGGTGCTCCCCCTCCCCCCATGCCCCCTCCTACGCCTTTGCTGGTGCAGACGACGTCCCTGGTGCTGAGGACGTCGGGGCTGCTTCTGCTAGTGCGAAGCGCCGCAGCAGCAAGGGCAAGGGTGGCAGGGGTGGTAGCGGTGGCAGCGAGGGTGGTGGTGGGGGCGGCAGTGGAGGTGGTGGAGACAGTGGAGGTGGTGGCAGCGGTGGGAGTGGTGGCGGGTGTGGGGGCTTTGGTGGCGGCGGTGGAGGCAGCGACGGAAGTGGCGGTAGTGGCAGCGGTGGGAGTGGTAGCGATCCGACTCGAGCTCACCGTGGAGGTTTCCGGAGGAGGCCAGAGGCAGCAGCAGCAGCGTTGGATCGAGACCCCGTCGCCCTAGCAACTTCGTGAGTGGTTTGCTCAGCGTGGGGCGTCTGGGGGTAGTTGTAGCTGCCCGTATGTCATTCGCACGGGTGACCGTGCTGGTCAGACTTGCGGGAAGCCTCACACTCAGCACCGCTGCTTCTCCCGCCTCGACGACGCTTGGCGCGCAGAGTTTGGTGACGAGGCCGAGCGCCCCCGCTGGGCAGAGCTACTTAGGTCTGGAGTTGCTATCTTTGACTTAGACTATGATGCTACTCTTGCGACAATGTATACTTTGTCTGTTAGTGCTGAGGGTGACTGTTAACTATGTGTGCTGCCTGACCCAGGTATAGAGGCTGCTGCTCTAGGTGCTAGTGAGTCTGCTCTCTCTAGTACTGCGCCTACTGAGGCCTTGCACACCTTCACACTTGACTCAGGTGCCTCACGCTGTTTTATTTGCGACAGCACCACCCTCGCTCCTCTCTCTGCACCTGTACCGATCAGGCAGGCTGACCTCTCTAGAGGCCCAGTCCTCGCCCGTTCCTCCACTGCGCTCCCGTGTCCGGCGGTTCCGTACGGCTCATTGTTAGGCCTTCACCTCCCCTCGTTCTCTACGAACTTGGTGAGTACCGCTGCCCTCCAGGACGAGATGGTCACTACCACCACTCCTGGGGGTCAACGTGTGTCAATCTGCACGTGTACACGGACGGGCCGTCACCTGGCAACGTTCACTCGTCAGCCATGGTCGAGTCTGTACAACCAGACTACCGAGCCTCCTTAGGTAGCTGCGTCTGCCCAGGTGTCCGCGTTAGGTCCAGTAGCACCCCCTTGCTCGTGTCGCCTCCTGTCGCAAGAGACCCTTCTGTGGCACCACCGCCTGGGTCAGCCCTCGCTGCCACGCCTTCGTGGCATGCACTCTCGCCTCCTTGTCTCTGGACTTCCCAGGTCTCTGCCTCCCCTCCCGCCCTCGCTTACACTGCGTTGGACGGGGAAGGTTGGCGATGCGACGGTGTTCTGGGTCTGGGGTTCTCGTGTCTTTGTTCGCGATACGTCCACGGACAAGCTCTCCGCCCACGCTATTCCCTGCGTCTTCCTTGGTTTTTCTCTTGACGCGCCTGGCTAGCATTTTTACCACCCCACCTCGCGCCGTGTTTTCCTCTCTCAGGACATCACGTTTGACGAGTCGGTTCTTTTTTACCGTCTCTTCCCCTACAGCTCTGCCCCTCCCCCACCCTCGCCGCTCTTCTTTTCTCCAGGTCCCCCTCCGGTAGACCCCGTCCCCCCCCCAGGGTCCTGCTCCCTCAGGTGTGTCTCAGGTAGACCCTCTCCCTGGTACTGCGCCTGTTGAGGTAGCTGTTGGCTCATGTGCTACTCCAGGTGCTGCGTCTGGGAGTGTGGAGCCTGGGGGTGCTGAGTCTGAGGGTGCCGGGTCTGGGGGTGTTGAGCGTGAGGGTGCGGAGCCTAGGGGTGCTAAGCTTGGGGGTGCTGAGCCTGAGGGTGTGGAGCCTGGGGGTGCTGAGCCTGAAGGTGTGGAGCCTGGGGATGCTGAGTCTTGGGGTGCTGAGCCGAGGGGCACTACTTCTTCTGGAGGTCCTGCGGGTGCTTCGCCACGACTGTCTCCCCGGCCGGAGCCTCTCTCCTCGCAGCAGCTGCGCGAGTGGTTTGCTCGGCGCACCCGCCTTCGGAGTGGAGCTGCCCGGGCTGGAGACTCTGTCGCTGGAGACACTGGAGCTGGAGGAGCTGGAGTTACTGCTGGAGCTAGTGGTGCTGGAGGTGCTGCAACAGCTGGCCCTGGAGGTGCTCGTACCAGGGGTACTGGAGCTGCCGGGACTGGTGGTGTTGGGGGAGCTGGAGCTGGAGACCCTACGGAGCCTGGAGCTGCTGGGGCTGGAGGAGCTGGATCTGTTGGCGCTAGAGCTGGAGGCACTGGCGCTGGAGGCGCTGGAGCTGGAGGAGTTGGAGCTATTGACCTTGGAGCTGGAGGTGCTGGAGGCACTGTGCGGCCGCGACCGTACTTCGTTCCCCTGCTTCAGCAGGTTGTTGGTGTCCCGTCTTCTACTGGCCTTACTCCACCCTTCCTATGTCCACCGCTTGACCAGTCGCAGCCGTCATTACAGCCAGCCTCTCCACTGCCTGCTCCGTCTCCTTACACTGAGCAGACCGGCGGTCTTACAGAGTGTCGTGAGCCTGAGTCTTGTCCTGCCTCCCCTGTTCGCACTGGTCGTCGCGTTTCTCGTCTTCGTCCCCGTCCTGTCCCAGGCACCCACGCTATGACACTTCGTCCTTCCTTTGTTCCACTGCGTGTTCCTCTGCCGCCTCCTCCTCAGTTCTCTTTTCCTGCCGTCCTTGACCCTAAGTCTGACGGCGCTCGTGCTGCCAGTCCCACTGTCTCTCGTCTTCTTCTCACTGTTGTCACTGACCCCTCGTTTGAGTCCACTACTGCGTCTGCCCTCGTTGCTAAGCTAGTTGACTTTGCTGCTGCCTGTCGTCTAGACGTCGCCACTGCTCTTGTTGCTGAGTCTGAGTCTGCCAGTCCTCCGTCCGTCGGGGGTGAGTGTGTTCTTGGCACGGACGTGCTTGAGGACAGGCAGGAGAACTTTGAGTGTCTTGCAGCTACTGTACCTCGTTTCGCTTCCATGCTGCATGCCCCTGAGGGAGACCCGGATGCACCAGACATCCCGACCTCGCGCTCTTACACAGGGGCGACTACGGGTCCTTACTCCTATCAGTGGCAGACAGTCATGGATGTCGAGATGGCATCCTGGAAGTCCACAGGAACTTACGTCGACGCAGTTCCCCCGTCTGGGGCGAACATAGTCGATGGCATGTGGATTTTCAGGGTGAAGCGGCCGCCGGGTTCTCCGCCTGCCTTCAAGGCACGTTACGTTGCTAGAGGCTTCAGTCAGCGAGAGGGGGTCGACTACTTCCAGACCTTCTCCTCCACCCCGAAGATGACTACTCTTTGGGTGTTGCTACACGTCGCTGCTCAGCGTGACTACGAGTTACACTCTCTGGACTTCAGTACAGCTTTCCTGCAGGGCAGCTTGCACGAGGAGATCTGGCTGCGCCGCCCATCTTGCTTCACTAGGTCGTTTTCTGCAGGTACTCGGTGGAGCCTACGGCGGCCAGTCTACGGTCTCTGCCAGGCGCCTCACGAGTGGCACGACACACTGAGGACTACACTTGCGGCTCTGGGGTTTACTCCTTCTACTGCTGACCCGTCGCTGTTTCTACGCACAGACACGTCGTTGCCGCCATTCTACGTCTTCGTGTACACCGACACGTGATCGTGTCCTTCTATACTGTGCTAGGCTTTGTGCCTACTTTGCCTCACTTGCTCTCTACGTGACTTTGCTTGTACTGTGATGTATATATATTCCTGCATGCCTACACTTGCTAGGGAATGATCACTGTATTGTTTGTTCTCTTTTATATAACTTTGCATGTGAACTGGCCTTGTGGCCATTTGCTTGTGCTCGGACTGTGTGGTGACTTTGTGATCCACCCTGAGCTTGCTTTGCTTTTCTTGACTAGTCTTGTGACCGCTTGTTCTCCCCCACTTTGCCTATGGCGGTGTGTCAGAATGTTATAGTGCTTACATTTGTGTAGGTTATAGTGGGGTAGCCCATAAGGGGTACAACCCAATTAGGGTTAGTACTTGCACCCAACTCTTTCATAGTTCATTTATTATCGTTCATTCTTCTTACAGTAACCCTTGCTTAAGTGTCGTGGTTGGCTTGTGGTACCTTGAGATCATTCGGAATGTTGGGCTCGGTTGACTGGGTCGACTGGGTTGAGTAGGTTGATTGGGTTGACTGGGTTGAGTAGGTTGACTGGGTTGAGTAAGTTGATTGAGTTGTTTGGGTTGACTGAGTTGACTGGGTTGACTGTGTTGACTGGGTTGACTAAGTTGACTGGGTTGACTGAGTTGTCTGGGTTGACTGAGTTTACTGGGTTGACTGAGTTGACTGGGTTGACTGAGTTGACTAGGTTGATTGGGTTGAGTAGGTTGACTTGGCCGTACCTGTCAATCCTATCCAGCGTCGGCGAGTCGCGAGGAAACTTCCTGGCAAAGAGGAAGACGCCACTGGTGAAGGCATCATTAAAGGAGTCATTCATCTCGAGGGAGTGCTGCCATGGGGGGAGAGGGGGAGGAGGAAGAGGCGGGAAGGGGTGGGGAGGGGTGGGGAAGGTTGGGGAAAGAGCGGTTGAAGGGGGTTGCACTGGTGTGAAGGCATAGTAGAAGGAGCCGTTCATCTCAAGGGAGTGCTGCCATGGGTGGAGGGAGGGGATGCAGAACGGGGAAGCAGAAGGAGTTTTGAGACGACTAAGTTCCCCACTAAGGCATCATAGAAGGAGTCACTTCGGTCGAGGAAGTGCTGCCATGGGATGTGGGGAGAAGAGGAGGGGAGGGGAGGGGAGGGGCGAGAGGAGAGGGAGGCACTTCTGAGTTGACTCAGAACTCCACCAATGAAGGACTCATAAAGGGAATCGTTAATCTCGGGGGAGAGGGTGGGGAGGTGGGGAGGATGAAGGGGATAGGAGGGGAGTGAAGGGGAGGGGAGGGAGGCGTAAGGGCGGTTGAAGCGGGGCGCACTGGTGAATGAGGCGTCGTAGGAAGGGTGATCTTGAGGGAGCACTGCAATAGGAAGGGGGAAACGGGGGGTGCAAAGGAAAAGGGGAAGGGAGCAGGGGAAAGGGGGTGAGTGGGAGGCATCTGTCTTTGAGGAAGGGGACGGAGGTGTATGGGGGAACAGGGAAGCAAAAAGTGGGGGGAAGGGAGTGGGTGAGGAGGAGAAGATACAGGGAGAACAGGCTGTGATGGGAAGACAGGGGGGGGGGGGGAGAGTGAACAACAGGTGATTGCATTGCGAACCTACCAAGCTGCTCCAACCACTGCCCCCACTGAGAACACACTGTGTGGTCCCTCCTATCCCTATATCAACGCGAGACACACTGGGAAGGTAACAGGAGGCTGGAGTTGAGGAGCGAGCGGTTGAATCGGGGCGAGTGGCAAGCGACGGTGGTGAAATAGTGCTCGTCCGAGTCGATGTATGGCAGGCGCGCAGCACACTCTTAAGTGGGACCCAGTGGCACACACACACGGATATGTACCGGGCTGCCCTTGGCGAAGGTGGCTAAATGGAGACTGGCATTTAGGAGGGAGCGGTTGAAGCGCAGCGAGTGGCAGGCGACGGTGCTGAAATAGTGCTCGTGTGAGTCGGCAGGCACTGTCTCTATACCACCCAACCTCGCGATGCACTGCGAACCTACCGGGCTGCTACTACCACTACCCCCACTGGAACCATACCCGGCTGCCCTTTGACTTGCCATCACTGGGAAGGTGGACTTACCGGGCTGCCCTTAGCGAATGTGGCGAAGTGCAGGGAAGCGTTGAGGAGGGAATGGTTGAAGCGGGGCGAGTGGCAGGCGACGGTGCTGAAGTAGTGCTCGTCTGAGTCGATGACGTCAACCATGTACATGAGGATGCGGTGCGGCCAGCTGGCAGGCTCCCATAGGACGTAGCACAGGAAGGGGCGTGAGGCCTTGATCTAATTGCAGCCTGCAGTGTGTGCGTAGTGGAGAAAGAGGTGAAAGGGGGAGGGGGAGGGGGAGGGGAGGGGAAGAAGAGATGGCAAGTCAACATGAAGCAGCAGGAAGGGACAAAAAGCCTTGATCCAGATGCAGCCTGCGCAGCATTGCAGGTGGGTGGAGAGGTAGAAGGGGTAGAAGGGGAGGGAGGGGCGGTGGAATGTGCAGCAGAGAATTTATCTGGTGGGCTTCCATAGGACGTAGCGCAAGAAGGGACGAGAAGCCTTGATCCAGTTGCAGCCTGGAGGAGAGGGGAGGCGACGGGAGGCGAGGGGAAAGAGATGGTAAGACAACAAGCAGAAGGAAGGGCACGGCGCCTTGATCCAACAGCCTGCTTGGAGTGCGTGCGGCAGGCAATGGAGCGGGAAAGAGGGAAGGGGCATTGAAGGTGTAGGTGGCGTGCTCCCGTGGAAGTGGGGGGATTCAAGTAATGGACTCCCATGGGACGTAGGCTATGTATGTGTCACTTTGAGGTTCTCAAAAAGAGGGGTGGCAGGTATCACATGGCGTGCAGCGTGCTCCCATGGGACGTAGCATCATCTCAGTGTTGAGTGAGGAACGGGGGGAGGTTGTAGGAAATTGGTTTGGGGAATCAGAAGTAGGTGCACGTGGGGGTGGGAAAGGTGGTGCGAGATGGCAGAGGAACGGCAGGCAGGTGGAAGGGAAAGACGCCAAGCTGTTCGGCTGGTGCGCTGTTCGGCTGGCGGAAGAGCTGGTGGCAGGTGAGTGGCAGGAAGGCGGAAGGGAAAGATGGCAAGCCATTCAGGGTGCACGGGAAGGGGCGGAAGCAGCCTCGGTGAAGCACAGTGGGATTCAATTGCAGGCTGGTGTTTTGAGTCGACTCAAAACACCGCCTTTTTCACGTGGCGTGCGGGGCGAGAGTCAACGCGAGTCAACTCACCCATGAAGACGTGGAATCGAGTGGCAGCAGGCCGCACGTCCCGCATGAGCTTGTGCCCTCTGTGCGCCTGGAAGAGCGCCCTGTCCAGATTCACTGCACGCTGGCGGTAGCTGGTGGGCAGAGGGAGGGCGGAGGAAGGAGGTTGTGGGAGGGATGGGGAGGGAGAAGGGGGGGACTCTGCCCTCGGCGCCCTGGAGGAGCGCCCTGTCCAGATTCACTGCACGCTGACGGTAGCTGGAGGGGGAGGGAAAGAGGAGGAAAGGGAAAGAGGGGTTTGTGTGGGTGGTGCAGGAAAGGAGAGTTTGGGGTGGGGAGGGAGTAGAGGGAGCCTGTGCCCTCGGTGCCCTGGAAGAGCGCCCTGTCCAGATTCACTGCACGCTGGCAGTAGCTGGCACGTAGAGGGAGGAGATTGGAAAGGGGGGGTGGGGGTTGGGGGGTTTTGTGAAAGGGTTGGGAAGGAACAGCGCCCTGTCCAGGTTCACCGAACGAGGCGGGACGTGGTGTGGCGGGGGAGGCGGACTTGTGGTGGGGAAGAAGGGCAGGTGAAGGTAGGGAGGGGAAAAGGAAAGGGGGAGGGGCGTGGAGAGTTGGAGAGTGGCGGCATTGGGTGTTAGAGCTTGTTTCATTCGTGCCGTGTCATTGGATCTGTCTGGGGTAGGTGGGGAAAGGGAAGGACAGAGGACGGCAGGAAGGGATCATTCCTTGGGCAGGCGCATAAGGGTTTGTTGCATGGTGGCGGCACGTGGGGTTCCAGGCAGGTGCATTGAGAGAAGCATGCTTGAGAGACTTCATAGTCAACTCAAACTTCACAATAATCACTTCGGCCAATGCAGGGAGGGATAATGTAAAGCAAGGCGGGCATATCAAGAGACGCAAGTGACGCAAGAGAAGCAAGATGGAGGGGAAGGTGAGGTAGGGAGATGGCGAACGGCGGTCCGTTGCATTGTGAAAATATAGTCACTGTGGCATTCACGATGTGTAACATGGGGCAATCACTAAGGACTGTAATGGGAAACCAGACAGATACAAGCGCGTGAAAACGGGCAAGTACGTGCGTGTGACTCTAACGGAGAAAGAGGGAGGTGAGGAGAGGGATAGGGTTGGTGAAGGGGCTGAGATACGGAGCAAAGGAATGGAGAGCGTGTCTGCAGAAGACAATCTATCGTAGTCTACATCCTAAGCGAGAACGGAACGCGCTTCGCGCCATATTGTAAGTGCGTAGCACGAATGGCTAAGTTGCAACCACTTGGGTAACCAGCCCATGGCGAGAGCTGCGCGAAGGTATTGGGAACGAAATCCTGCGAAATGCTCAGAGTGACGTGCGAGCGGTGACCAAATCATATGGGACTGCGAAATGCTATGCGGGGCAAAAAAGTTAATACTTTTCGCGTAGGAAAGGCTGCGAAACAAGCTTCGCCCCTGAAACGCACCACTTACAGTATCGCACCCGTGCACATGACATTGAGCGATGATGACGATGATTGTTACGAGTGCAATCGAGTGAGTGAACTAGAATTGCACTATCTAAGCAAAAATACAATGAGCGAAGGAATGAGCGAACAATATATAGCGAAACCCTAGCGTGGTAACGGTCATGCGCGAGAATGTGGTGCGCAACGGGCCTAGCGCCGAGGTTGGGAAAATGTCGAGGCGGATGACCTGAGCGCGGGTTACCAACCGATTCGTTAGGTTGGGTCGCGAGGTGTACAGTGGCGGGAGCAATCGTCGAGGCGAGTGTCGCGAGCGGGTAACGTTTCACGGATGGGTGCATTTGGCGGGAATCGTCGTGTACGCGATAAGCAGGGGCGCGAAGTAAGGAAAAGGAATTTTCCTTACACAACCCCCCTCCCCAAGGAGGCTCCCCTTACAAGAGTACGTGTACGTCCCGGAAGTTGCGGCTGCGGAGATACTCGGTGAGGACGAGGTGATTTTCAATTCTATCCAAGGGGCACCCATTTGTCCTCAGTAGGCGTGCGGTCCTTCCAGTGAATCAAGAACTCGATCCTGCGAGCTCCACGTGGATCACAAACTCGGTGGCTCAAAAATTTCTCGAGTGTGATGACTGGTTCCGTTGGCGGTCGTGTCATGCTGGCTGGGCGGTTGCGAGGCAGTTGGCTGGTGGAGGGGACGTATGGGCGGAGTAAGCTGATGTGCAACTATGGGCTGACGTACCAATCAGCAGGGAGGATGAGGTGGGCGGTGACGGGCGTGATCATGTGGCTGATGCGGAATGGCCCACAATATCGAGGGCGGAGTTTCGGAGTAATGGGTAGGCGGAGGTTTTGGGTGTCGAGGAGTACGAGGTCGTCGGGTTAGTAAGTGATGGGGCGGCGGTGCGGTCGGCGTTACGCTTAGCGATGATATTCGACTTTTTTATGGCGTCTGCTGCTCGGCTCCGGGCTGCCTGTAATATTTCGGCGACCTGTTGTGCGCGGGGTACTGGATTGTCAGGATTCGGCGTCATGGGTACTGTGGGATTCTGTCCGTAGTTGAGGTAGAACGGTGACTGTTGCGTCGTGGCTGACGTGGAGTTGTTGTACGCGAACTCTATGAGTGGCAACTATTGCTCCCAAGTTGCCGGGTCGTCGCACGTGGCTCGGATTAACTGTTCCATTGTCTGATTGGTCTGTTCTGTTTGACCGTCGGTTTCGGGGTGGTATGATGAACTAAACTGTACTAGCGTACCGGACTACTGCCACTGTTTCCGCCAGAAATTGCTGATGAATTTCGTGTCGCGGTCGCTGATTATCGCTGCTGGTCCCGTGCAGTCGGATGACGGTGGAGATGAAGAGTCGTGCTGTTTCTTTGGCTGTGATTGGTTTCTTGCAGGCTGCGAAGTGTGCCATTTTTGTCAGCCGATCGACGACGACCAGGATCGCGTCTTTCCCAGTTGCTCCGGCTAGTAACCCCGTGACGAAGTCCATCGTCACCTGCTGCCAAGCACGCTCTGGGGGTGGTATCGGTTGCAATTGTCCTGCCGGCCCCTGTCGTGACGACTTCATGAGTTGGTAGGTGGGACACGATGCCACGTGTCGCTGCACGTCAGTCAGCATCTCTGGCCAGTAGTATTACCGCTGCAGCTGCTGTCGTTCTCGACTCCGAAATGTCCTGAGGTAACTCCGTCGTGTGCCTCCTGTAGCAGTAACTCCTGTGGTAAAGTGTAGCCCGGTACCCAGATACGGTCTGTGCCAACTTTTACGTAATAAACCCCTTTTGCTGCTACGAACTGCTACGAGTTTCCTCCGGTAAAGAATGGGTCGGTCTGATAGCCGTGGTTAAATAGGCCTGTAAGCAGTGGGCTGGTCTGGGCAAGTAGTATAGCGTGTATTTGGGCAGTGGGGCGGGTCAGTGTGTCGGCGATGTTCGATGCTCCTTTTTTGCAGTTGACCGTGTAGTGAAAGTTGGACTCGAGGAAGTCGAGCCAACGGACCTATCGTGGGTTGAGATGGGGCTGTGCGCGGAGGTACTGTAGTGATTTATGGTCCGTCCGTACTGTCACGTCTGCACCGGTCAAGTAACAGCGCCAGACCTTGAACGCGTGCATGATCGCGAGCATTTCACGGTCATGTATCGGGTAATTTTTCTCGGGCGGATGCATTTTTCGTGACTCGTATGCGATGGGCTGTAATCCGTTGCCAAAGTCCTGTAGCAGTACGGCTCCGATGGCGATGTCGCTTGCGTCTCTAACCACTTCGAATGGGCGGTGTGGGTCGGCGATGCGTAGTACGGGTGGTGAACAGAGAACATTTTTTCAGGGCAGAGAAGGCAGCATGCTCTTTCTCACCCCACGTAAAAGCGACCCCCTTCCGCAGCAGATCCGTCAGTGGGGCCGTTAACCGTGCCATGTCGGGGACGAACCGACGCACATAATTAACGAATCATAAAAAAATCTTCAGCTCCGTGATTTTTGTTGAGGGGTGCCACGCTTTTACTGTGTCCAACTTCTTTGGGTCGATCTCAACTCCAGCCTCCGAAATATCGTGCCCCAGGAATTCTAACCTGTTCTGAAAAAACTCGCAAATGGAACACTTGGTTAGTAGTCTGTGCTTGTCTAAAAATTTAAACACTGCTTCCAGATCCGCCAAGTGCTGCTGCGGGATGTTGCAACTGTAAACTAGGATGTCATCGAGGTAAACTATTACGCATTTATCTAAGAGCGGCCTAAACGCCTCGTTCATGGTCATCTGAAATGTTGCCGGTGCGTTGGTCAGCCCAAAAGGCATCACAGTATACTCGAATGGCCCGTATCTAGTTCTAAAGGCTGTCTTGGCACAGTCCGATGGTTCGACTCTAATCTGGTGGTAACCTCCCCGTAGGTCGATTTTCTAAAACGTTGTTGTTCACAGTTGATCTATCAGTTCGTCGACGCGGGAGATGGGGCATCGCGACTTGACTGTTACCCTGTTCAGTGCGCGATAGTCGATGCACATGCGAAAACCTCTGTCCTTTTTCGGTGTGAATAGTATCGGTGCGGCGAACGGGGACGAACTCGGTCGGATGAAAAAATTCTCTAACAGGTAATCTAGCTGCTTCCTTAGTTCGTCGAGCTCGGGCTGTGTTAGTCTGAACTGTCGCTGTACAGTTGGCTGTGCCCCCGGTTCTAACTCTATGCGGTGGTCGTGTGCTCGTTGAGGTGGCGGTCCCTCCGGTAAGTCGTATGGAAAAATCCCCGGGTACCGTTTCAGTCCTATAGTTCGGGCGGTACGGCTGCTAATAGTTTCTGAAAATCACTCGGTTGCTCCGTTTCTCCTACTACCGTGATGTCCACTACGTATATGTCAGCTCCAGCGGCGACAGCCCGTTTCGTCGTGATGACGTTGATGTGGACCGTTGAAGACTCGGGCGACTGCCAGCGAGGTAGTTCGACCCAGTTGCCACCGCTTCGCACAGTGCAGCTACCTGTCGTCCAGTCAATTCTCGGGTTGTATCGTCGCAGCCAATCACGTCCCAGTAATATGTCGTGCACATGCAGTGTCGTCGCGAGCATTTCCTGTGTAAACCCGAAATTCCCCCCGCAGTGAACCTTCTCTCTCTCTCTCGCTCTCTCTCTCTCTCTCTCTCTCTTTCTCTCTCTCTCTCTATCTCTCTCTCTCTCTCTCTCTCTCTCTCTCTCTCTCTCTCTCTCTCTCTCTCTCTCTCTCTCTCTCCAGTTTCTCCCATATAGCATGTGGCATGCCGTCAACTAAGCGTGCATCGATCTCCGGTAAAAAACGGCTAAGTGTTAGTTGTAGTTTCCGTGACTTGCTCCTCCGTCGTTAAAAAACTTCACTGCTACCCCCTGTATTTTCCCGTGAATCAGTATTGGGCAATCTGTCGCTGTACCCTCCTTATTCAGCCGAGCCCGATCGATTGCATGAATCGGTACCGTGACTCGGTGAGGGTCAGTGAGGTCGGGCGAGTAGTGAGTCTCGTTAGTAGTGGGCACGTACTCTACTGACTGTTGGCGTTTCCCTGCCTCCAAGACTCCTTCCCCTGCTCTGCTCCACGGCGCCTTAGTGTCAGAATGTATTTGCTGTCTAGCCTGCAGTGGGGTACTCTGTAATGAGTACAACCCAATTTAGGGTGTTGTACTTGTATCCCAACTCTTGCTAGTAAAACCACTCATTCTCCTTTCCAATCCTCTCGACACTCAATTCTCTCGACACTCATTCTCGCCTAAGATTCTAACATGGTATTAAGAGCAACTAAGTCTTAGGACCTAATCTCAATGGGCCCACCACCTACTGCACTGCCCGTACCTAGCCCGTCGACTTCGTCGCCCGCGCCCGGCCCGTACCTAGCCCGTCGCCCGGCCCGTACCTAGCTCGTCGCCTCGGCCCCGCTGGCTCCGTTGACTTCGTCGCCCGCGCCCGGCCCGTACCTAGCTCGTCGCCCGGCCCGTACCTAGCCCGTCGCCCGGCCCGTACGTAGCCCGTCGCCTCGGCCCCGCTGGCCCCGTCGTCTTCGTCGCCCGCGCCCGGCCCGCACCTAGCTCGTCGCCCGGCCCGTACCTAGCCCGTCGCCCGGCCCGTACGTAGCCCGTCACCTCGGCCCCGCTGGCCCCGTCAACTTCGTCGCCCGCGCCCGGCCCGTACCTAGCCCGTCGCCCGGCCAGTACCTAGCCCGTCGCCCGGCCCGTACCTAGCCCGTCGCCCGGCCCGTACCTAGCCCGTCCCCTCGGCCCCGCTGGCCCCGTCAACTTCGACGCCCGCGCCCGGCCCGTATCTAGCCCGTTGCCCGGCCCGTACCTAGCCCGTCGCCTCGGCCCCGCTGGCCCCGTCAACTTCGACGCCCGCGCCCGGCCCGTACCTAGCCCGTCGCCCGGCCCGTACCTAGCCCGTCGCCCGGCCCGTACCTAGCCCGCGCCCGGCCTCGTCTCCTGCCTGCGCCCGGCCCGTACCTAGCCCGTCGCCCGGCCCGTACCTAGCCCGTCGCTCGGCCCGTACCTAGCCTCGCGCCCGGCCTCGTACCTGCACAGCGCCAAGCTCTGTACCTGCCCAGCGCCCAGCCCTGTACCTGTTTGGCCCCTCGGCCCCCTAGGCCCCTCGGCCCCCCCTAGGCCCCTCGGCCCCCCCTAGGCCCCTCGGCCCCTTGTTTGGCCCTGCGGCCCCTAGGCCCCTCGGCCCCACCTCAGATACTGGCGCCCGGCCCCTTGTTTGGCCCCTCGGCCCCCTAGGCCCCTCGGCCCCCCCCTTAGGCCGCCCCCCGGCCCCTTGTTTGGCCCCGCGGCCCCTAGGCCGCTCGGCCCCACCTCAGAGACCGACGCCCGGCCCCGTACCTGCCCAGCGCCCGGTCCCGTCCCTGCCCAGCGCCCGGCCCCGTACCTGCCCAGCACCCGGCCCTGTCCTTGTTTGGCCCCTCAGCCCCTTGTTTGGCCCCTTGGCCCCCTAGGCCCCCCCGGCCCCTTGTTTGGCCCCGCGGCCCCTAGGCCACTCGGCCCCACCGCAGAGACCGGTGCCCGGTCCCCCAGCCCCTTGTTTGTCCCCTCGGCCCCCTAGGCCCCTCGGCCCCCCTAGGCCCCCCCGGCCCCTTGTTTGGCCCCTCGGCCCCCTAGGCCCCTCGCCCCCCCTAGGCCGGCCCTGTACCTGGCCAACACCCGGCCCCGTACCTGCCCAGCGCCCGGCCCCGTTCCTAGCCATGGCCCCTCGCGACCTGCCACCCCTAACCGCGGCCCCGGTGCCCTGTTGCGCCATGGTGGGTGAGGGGGTGGCAAGAGGGGGTTCCTCCTGCCCGCGTGCCCTACGGTCGCACGCGCAGCTCCGCCCCCGTCCCCCTCCCCCCCCTCCATGGGGATGGCGGGGAGAGGGGGGGGGGGAAGCTTGGAGGTTCAGGGGGGGGCAGGAGGGGATCTGCAGCACCAGGTCCCCCACCCTTCTCCTACCTCCCCCTGCTGCGGGAGCAGCAGAAGGGGGGAGGGGATCTGCAGCACCTGCCCCCCGGCCCACCCCCCCTCCCCCCCCCTCCATGGGGATGGCGGGGAGAGGGAGGGGAAGCTTGGAGGTTCAGGGGGAGGCAGGAGGGGATCTGCAGCACCAGGTCCCCCACCCTTCTCCTACCCCCCCCCCCTGCTGCGGGAGCAGCAGAAGGGGGGAGGGGATCTGCAGCACCGACCCACCCTCCCCCCCCACCATCCTTCTCCTATCTCCCCCTGCTGCGGGTGCAGCAGTGGGGGGGAGGGGATCTGCCATCCCCCTGGTGCGGATGCGGCAGTGGGGGGAGGGGACCTGCAGCACCTGCCCCCCCCCCCCCCCCCCCCCGGCCCACCCCCCCTCCCCCCCCCTCCATGGGGATGGCGGGGAGACGGAGGGGAAGCTTGGAGGTTCAGGGGGAGGCAGGAGGGGATCTGCAGCACCAGGTCCCCCACCCAGGGGGGGAGGGGATCTGCAGCACCGACCCCCCCCCCCCCCCCCCCCCCCCCCCATCCTTCTCCTATCTCCCCCTGCTGCGGGTGCAGCAGTGGGGGGGAGGGGATCTGCCATCCCCCTGGTGCGGATGCGGCAGTGGGGGGAGGGGACCTGCAGCACCTGCCTGCCCCCCCCCCCCCCCCCCCCCCTTTTTTCTCCTCCATCTCTCTGCTGCGGGTGCAGCAGTGGGGGAGGGTATGGGGGTGGCGGGTGTGGCCAACCCGCCAGCCCTGCTGCGCCCCGCGCGCCCTGCTGCCCTGGTGCCCTGTGCGCCCCGCGCGCCCTGCAGCCCTGTGCGCCCCGCGCGCCCTGCTGCCCTGCTGCCCTGTGCGCCCCGTGCGCCCTGCTGCCCTCTGCACGCGCCATGCACAGCACCCCCCCCCCCCCCCCCCCCCCCCCCCTCTGCACAGCGCCATGCAGGTGCAGCAGTGGGGGAGGGTATGGGGGTGGCGGGTGTGAAAACCGTCCCCTGCTCCTCCTCCTCCTCCGTCTCCCACTGCTGCAGCTGTCGCTGAGGGGGGTGGGTGTGTGGGAGCCTAGGGAGTGGTGCTAAGGGGGTGACGTGGGAGTGGAGCTAGGGGTGCAACAAGGGGTGTGTGAAAGGGGGGTGGGACAGTTGGGGGAGGTTGAGCGGAGGTACCTGTCGTGTCGCCAGCAGCGCCAGTAGTCCGGAGGCTACAATCTCCGGTAGCCCAGCGAGCCTGCTGCGCCAGTCGCCTGTGGGTCCGTTGCTCTTGCCGCTCAGAGTTAGCTGCAGAGCCAGTTACTCCTGTAGTCCGGGGATACGGCCCCGGTAGCCACAGTGCGCGCTGCTCCTGTTGCCCGTGTGTCTGCAGCATCAGCAGTCGCCTCCTATCTCCTCTCCTCTCACAGTCCAGCCTCCTCCTCACTTGCCCTTTGTGTATGCCTCTAGCTCTGCTTGTACTTGTGAACCTGCTCTATGACTGCTTGCTCTGCTGATTATACCCCACTTTGACTATGGGGGTGTGTCAGAATGTATTTGCTGTCTAGCCTGCAGTGGGGTACTCTGTAATGAGTACAACCCAATTTAGGGTGTTGTACTTGTATCCCAACTCTTGCTAGTAAAACCACTCATTCTCCTTTCCAATCCTCTCGACACTCAATTCTCTCGACACTCATTCTCGCCTAAGATTCTAACACTTAGCTCCTCTGGGCATTCGTTCTTGCGCTGGTGCGGCAGCTACATTCTGTTACAACATTGACTCAACTAGGCAACGGGTTTAACTTAGGGCCTAGGCTTAGGAGCATAGGCCAAGCGGGAGTCGAGTAGTTTGAGCCAAGGAGAATCGATAATAAGGGGGTTTCACTATAGAATGTGAAGAACATATAGTGAACAGAAGGTGCACCACCAACAGCAATGCACTATAACTACACTGCACCTACAGCTACATGCAGCTGTACAAATATATATAAAATATATAATCTGACACATTCGTCGCACTGGCGTATACAGTGGCATGCTCGGTCGGTCCCCGAGGGCGATGTCCGTAGTAGGACCCCGATCTCGGACGGCGTAGGATGTCGATTTTCTCCGCTAGCGCCAAGTTTTCGTTGAAGTTCGAGATCCCGCGAAGAATAATCTCTTGCGAGATTTCCGGCTTCAGGCCGCCGACGTAGCGATCCACTCGCTCCGCTTCGTGCATGTAGCCGACTTGCTCGCACGGCGCGAGAAAACCGATGGTGTAGTCTTGGACCGACCCAAGCTGTCGCCAAGTGCGCAGCTTTTGACATGCTGAAATCGAGGTTGCGATTGGCTCGAAGCCAAGGCTCTCGATTGGTTTTGGGCCACCCTTTCTAATTAGGGTTCTAGGTAGTCCCAACCCTGATTCATAGGGTAAAAGTTTTCGTTCCCTGACAAATTCAGGGTAAAGAAACTATTAGTCTGTTTGGGCAGGGTAACTTTTTTGGTACACTTGTCTTAACTATCAATAACAAACAAAGTATAGGTTTAACACTTAGTGGCTTAGCTGGTATGATTGTGTTTAAGGCTTGTAAGGTTGCATGTTCGATTCTCGCTGAGAGGCGAATATTTTGCAGGGGCTCGTATAGTGTTTGGTCTCGCTACGGAGCATTCGGTATCAGTAGAAATATGATCGTACGCTGTACAGTCCGAGAAATAAATCATTTACGCTGTTTTTCAAAGGGTAAAAAAAAAAAGTGCACTTTCTGGCCTAGGGTAAAAATCCCATTACCCTTCTTGGAAAAGGGTAAGTGAAAAAAAACGGCCGTAAGAAGGGCAAAAAAGGCATTTTACCCTGATAACGAGAGCCCTGCTCGAAGCGCGTCCGAAACCCTGCGCATCACACGTCCCACATGCTGTATTGGGCTGCCTCGCAGAATGAACTCCAGGTGACGGCTGGGCATGCGGGCCCTTCATCTTGCGACAGTGGCTCGTAGGCGCTTGGCGATATCACGATGACTCGCCACCAGTCCATGGCGGGGCCCCGCAGCACGATACGGCGTACCAAATCTTCGTTGCATCCGACGTGACGTAGTTTGTGTAAAAAATTACGCTCATCGTGAACACTGACGATTGAACCGTCGGTCCTCCATGCTGGCTAAGATCGAAGCAGGGCGGGCGTTGCGGCTTGAGTGGTATCGGCTCACCAATGTCGTCATTGCTGGCTGATGTCGCAAATCCGACGTGACGACGGGCCTCGCAAGGTACATTTATGCCCGATGTGGTCCTGGCTCTCTCCATGCCCGGCATAGATTGTGTTACGATATGGAATAGTTGAATAAACATTCATAAGTAAGACCGAGCGACAAGACAGTTATCGAAGACAGTTTACAAGCAGGAAGAATTCGAAATGCAAAGCGCGGGAAAGCTCAAATGGTTACCGAACCAGTACGGTTACCAAACCGCACGGTTGCAATCCTGCATCTAGATTAGCCTGTCAAACATATCTGCTATAGTCTATCTAGGCTGTAGTGGGGTAGTCAATACAGGGTACAACACTTTTAGGTTTTCATACTTGTACCCACCTGCTGCCTAGTTCATTCATTCCTTCTGTTCATTCTGACATGGTATTCTGAGCAAGTTCCCCTGTGGGAAAGTTTTTTTTTAGGGCCCACCGAAATAGTAACTTTTTTTTGCTGCCCTTATCGCAGCGCGCTTCGCGCCTGCCCCTGCCCTGCTGTCGCGGTCCCTACTACAGTCGCGGCCCCCCTCACTACCGTCGCGGCCCCTACGGCCGACGCGGCCCCTAGTGCCTACGCGGCCCATTCTTGCTGTCGCGGCCCCTGACCTTGCCACCTTTGCCACAGTCGCTGACCTCACTGCTCACCTCCGCACTAGTGACGCCCGCTACCGCGCTGCCCTTCCCACTGAGTTCTGTGCCAAGAAACCCCCCCCCATGTACATCACCCTTTACTACCTAGTCAACCGCCTCCCTGACTCCCTTTCTTCAATCAGGGACCACTTTCTCTCCCTTTGCCCCACCGAGCTCACTGTCGACCTGCTAGAGGAGCGCCTAGCTGCAGCTGAGAAGAGTATCTTAGCTGTAGGTGCTTCTCGCGGCGACCGTCGCACCCCTTTCTTTGAGGGGTGTTCCCCTGTCCCCCTTCTCCCCTCTGTTGCTTCTGCTGCTGCTGTCGACCTCGTTGGCACTGAGGAGGTCGGCGCTGCGCCTGCCTCTAGTGGGAGACGCCGCAACAGCAAGGGCAAGGGGAGCAAGGGTGGTGGAGGGGACGGCGGGGGTGGCGGCGGAGGAGGTGGAGGAGGCGGAGGGGGTGGCGGTGGAGATGGGGGTGGTGTCAGGAGTGGGGGCTTCAGTGGCGGCGGTGGCGGTGGTGGAGGCAGCGGCGGAGGTGGTGGAGGCAGCGGCAGCGGTGGTGGAGGCAGCGGCAGCGGTGGCGGAGGTGGCGGTGGCGGTGGTGCTGGTCGAGGTGCAGCCGCGTAGCGTGGAGGTTTTGGTGGTAGCCAGCGCCAGCAGCAGCCGCGTTCCCGTGAGACCCCGTCGGCCCAGCAGCTTCGTGAGTGGTACGCTGGGCGTGGGAGGTCTGGGGGTGCTGGTCCCTGCACTTACGTTCTTCGCACCGGCAGTCGTCGTGGGGAGACGTGCGGGCTGTCCCACACTGCGCAGCGCTGCTTCGGTCGCCTGACTGACGCTTGGCGCGCCCAGTTTCCTTACGCTGTTGAGCTCCCTCGCTGGGGTGATCTGCTTAGGCACAATGTTGCTATCTTTGATCTTGATTTCGATGCTATCCTTGCTGCCATGTATGCTTTGAGTGATAGTGCTGAGGGTGACTGTAACCTGAGTGTCCCGCCCGACCCGGGCATTGAGGCTGCTGCTCTAGGTGCTAGTGCGTCTGCTGCTCCAGGTACTGGTGAGCCTGCTGCTCCAGGTGCTGGTGAGTCTGCTCCCTTTGGTACTGCACCTACTGCGGCCTTGCACACTTTCACACTTGACTCTGGTGCTTCGCGCCCTTTCTTTAGAGACAGCACCACGCTCACGCAACTCAGTCGGCCTAAAGCAGTCTCCCTGGCTGACCCCTCTGGGGGCCCAGTCCTTGCGCACTCTTCCACGGTTCTACCGTGTCCTGCGGCCCCGTCGGGCTTGCTATTGGGACTCCACCTCCCCTCGTTCTCTACGAACCTGGAGAGTGGAGCTGACCTCCAGGACGCGTGGGTTGACCAGTTCGCCCCTGGAGGTCAGCGTCTGACCCACTGCACTTGCTCTCGGACGGGCCGCCACCTGGCCACGTTCACCCGTCGGCCTGGGTTGAGTCTCTACACACTGACTACTGCGCCCCCTCCGATCTCTGCATCTGGTCAGGTAGCCGCGTCTAGTCAGGTGTTTGCTGCTGCCTCCAGGTCCAGTTCTGCGTCTGCCCCCTGCTCGTGTCGTCCTCTGTCGCACGAGACTCTCCTGTGGCACCACCGCCTTGGTCACCCCTCCCTGCCTCGTCTTCGAGGTATGGCCTCCCGTACCCTTGTCTCGGGTCTCCCCAGGTGCCTTCCTCCCCTTCCTCCGGGGCCTGCCCCCACCTGTGTTCCCTGTGTCGAGGGCCAGCAGCGCGCTGCTCCTCACTCCTCCTCGTTCCCTCCGACCGAGGCTCCCTGCAGACTCTTCACATGGACGTGTGGGGCCCAGCCCACGTCCGTGGACACGGTCACGAGCGTTACTTCCTGCTGGTCGTTGACGACTACTCGCGTTACACCTCAATCTTCCCCTTGCGCAGCAAGGGTGACGTCACTGAGGTGTTGATCGACTGGATCCGCGGTGCCCGTCGCCAGCTCAGCGAGAGTTTCGGCTCGGTCCTTCCTGTTCTGCGTCTGCACTCAGACAGAGGTGGTGAGTTTTCCTCCTGAGGGCCTTCTGTCGTGCGGAGGGCATCCGCCAGACGTTCACGCTTCCGGCCTCCCCACAGCAAAATGGGATTGCTGAGCGCCGCATTGGCATGGTCATGGACGTCGCTCGTACGTCCATGATCCATGCGGCTGCTCCCCATTTTCTGTGGCCGTTCACGGTTCAGTACGCTGCGCATCAGATCAACCTTCAGCCTCGTGTCTCCTTGCCGGAGACCACACCTACTCTGAGGTGGACGGGGAAGG